TAGGTCTAGAAGTTGGTACTGTGCAAACTTTGAACTATTGTCACATTTTCGTTCACCCAAAATAGGTCTAGAAATTGGCTACCCCTTTCTTGGGCAAAGCATTATAATAAAATAATATCAGAAATTCGAAATTTTTTGGGAATAAGTGATAGGTACTGTGCACAGTTGTGCATAGTACAACTATGTTTCATTTTCGTTTACCCAAAATAGGTCTAGAAGTTGGTACTGTGCAAACTTTGAACTACTGTCACATTTTCGTTCACCCAAAATAGGTCTAGAAATTGGCTACCCCTTTCTTGGATAAAGCATTATAATAAAATAATATCAGAAATTCGAAATTTTTTGGGAATAAGTGATAGGTATTGTGCACAGTTGTGTATTATGCAACTATGTCACATTTGCGTTTACCCAAAATAGGTCTAGAAGTTGGTACTGTGCAAACTTTGAACTACTGTCACATTTTCGTTCACCCAAAATAGGTCTAGAAATTGGCTACCCCTTTCTTGGGCAAAGCATTATGGACGCAAAGAATGACGATGACACTTCTAGAGAAGACGATAATTCGTTTGCTAAAACAATTTAAGGCAAACAAAACTGGGGACCTATTTCGCGAAGTTAATTTCAAGAACTGACATAGCTTGACTATTCTCGAGATCGTCTTGTTGTAAAATGTTTAATGTAATAGTAGCGTAAGAGGGAGAGTTATGTTGTTGGTAAGTTCACCCTTAATGTTTGCTTGGGTAGTCTACGCATTTATGGAACATGTCTGAGACTCTTCGAGCGTTGACTATTAAACTAACATTTCCAAGCTTGGTTATGATAAACCTGGGTCTCGTGGAGACCTCTCTAACTTATCATTAGCCAAAGTGTCTATCGCGCTCGATTGATATCCTCAGAGGCTCAAGGAGCAATATCATTCTGAGATTTTACAAGGCAAGATTGCGTATGAGAATATCTACTAATCCATCCCTATAACAGGATCTTCACGATTAGTGCCAATATATTATAGGATTAATTCTAGATTAATCTTATGCAGACAGAGATCTGCAAGTCTAATCAACAACCTGTTTATTATCCTTTATTTTCGAGGAACGGCCCAAGCGTTCCCATACGCTTTACAGTCGTACCTAGACAAAAGGCACTGTGACAGACGATGACCTTGTCACGTGACTAGTTTGCAACGGCGAAAAATAAAAATAACTATGCTTCTATACGAGATACTATCCGTAGAGTAGGCATACCGCAAGAGAAGTGACACGTATTTAGAATTCGAGAAGAACTGACTTTATTTAGGTTTTGGGGTATATATATATTCTTACTATCTTATGCTAGGTGGTTTGGAAGGGGTTGTATCGTGGAGTTTGGAAGTTTGGTCAACGGGTGGTGATTCGTATTAGCTGTCGTTACAGGGTTGCGTCTCGGAATTTGGAACTGTAGTCATCTGCTGATTCACGTTGGAGTTTGGAGTCTTCCTTACCTATCGTGGGCTGTGATAACAACCTCATGCCCTAATCACGCCACGCTCACCATTTCTACATATTCGCCAATCAAAGTGTATCCTAAAAATGAAACAGCGAACGTACAATTCACCGTTTATCGACTACACTGTCGATTCCTGAGATAAATTTGGTGTTCCAGCTCATGAGCTACCAACCAATCCCCCACATCGAGTCAGTCAATAACACGAGCCTCGCCATGCCACGTTGCAGAAGCTATGGAACATTCCAGCCTGATCACGAGCTCACCTTCGTCCAGGTTGTCCAACAGCTTCCATTTCCTTGCCCGTTTCTTGCCTGTCGAGCGTTCCGCTCAGTCCCGCGAGTCAAGGCGACGAAAAAACGATGGACATTCATGCAGCAAATCGATAGGGTCGCGCGTGATTAATCTCCGGGCCGGGCAACGGAGGGCAATTTCCCGGGTTCCCGTTGTATCTAAGGTCGACGAGGAAAAGGATAACGAGGTTAGAGCGCGACCGGCCAGGAGTTAGGTTGGGGGGCCAGGTGGCGGGACGATTGATGAGGTGGCTATGAAAGCCAATAAAATCGCGACGCCGCGGCAACTCCGTGGACCAGGGGCATAAATCGGCAAGTAGACCGATTAATTGGCCCAGGCTCGACTTGTACATCCACCAGAGGACGTGGCTGATTGTACTTGTATGCTCGTACGAACTTTTGTTCCCCGGGAACCTCCACCAATTTGCAGTAACTCGGCCCTTGGTCACTGACTCGCTAAAACTGGGAATTTGTGGCTGCGGCCTGAAAATATACGGGGTCCGGGGGTGTCGCAGTGCCCTGGATCTCAGACATCCTTGTGTTCTCTGTTTCGAAGTTGAATTGGGAAGATCTGTTGCCTCTCTCAGGACTCTGGACCGTGGATGCTTCTCTCTTATAAATTAAGTGAACTGGTTGGAATTTGCATAGGGGTGGCTGTTCTATATGTATGACAGGGATGACAGCATTTGCTATTTCAGTGAGCTTGGTCAGGCTAGCTTCCTTGGGTATATCGTTGGCTGTAATGCGAGGAGAATCGTCGAGAAGTTATTCTCTACTCGAGACCCTGGCAGGTTACAGGTCTATGATTCTATTTTTCGGATCGAGGACTGTATACAGGTACATGAACAATGGCGAATGGTTGGATTAATAGAGTGCAAAGCGCGATAAAAGTATCACGCAGTCTAAATGTACCCAGTACAATGTAAAAGCAAAGAAATCTACATTGAGGTTATTTACTGTCACGTAATTCCCTTTTGTTACAAAATATCGTTAAACCAGGACTTCCTTCGCTCCACTTCCTGCCTGTTATAAAACACCATGGTCATAAAATCTTTTCACTTTAATGCCACTCGACGCAGGATATAAAGAAAAATCAAATTATCATCCACATTACATCCCATGAAAAACGAAGCAGAATCACTTGCTTTCCCCCTTATCGCTCCGCCTTACACCCTATCAGCGGTGCAAACGATAAATGACACAGCTAAATCATCTCCCACGCTCAGTGAAAACAACATCACCAAAGGAACCTCTCTTCAGACCCCTCAATCTCAAGCTTGAAACGCCTCCACCGCGGAATGAAAGAATTAAAGAACGTCAAACAAAGGAGGGTCGTTGAGGAGACTCCGCACTGCCGACAGGGATAAGAGTGAAACAGAGAGTACCATAACAGCTTTCAATGGGTACCCCATAACTTGGACACGTTTAAATGATGGCGTTAGCCGGAGTCTCATTAGAGGATGCAAACCTATTGCAGGTTTTGGGTTGAAATTAGGTTGCTATTTCTCTGTTCTTAGACGAGTGTTCAGTCAGTTCTAGATAGACGTTAGGTCATTCTTAGGTTAACATTAGATCGTTCTTGGGCCAGTGTGAAGATTCTCTTGAGAATTCTTGTTATTCCATTAGATCTGAAGGTATATCGTGAGCTGTCAACAAATGAAAAGCACTATGTCAGGTTTCGATGAGCTTTATTATACAAAAGGGGAGCTAGTGCTGAACCACTCGATGCCAAACGCTGTCATTCTTAGGAAACGGTCTATAACGCCCTCTGGTTGCCAACGAACTGACTTTTTCCAGTCCTAACCCACGCGTCGTGGTCCACAGTCCGCGAGTCATGCGGTGTGCTGGTCGAAAAGACATAAGCCAGGCGCCCATTGACTCGAGACGCGCGATGTTACCAAGAATGGAAACAAAATGGTTTTCTTTTTAGCATCTGCGCATGCGTGTCTACAGATCTAAGATTAACACCAAGTTTCTCGTAAGTCAAATTAGATGATTGTTACAGTTAAACCGATGTGGAATTGGCCTTAGTACAAAATTAAGTCGTCGATACGTGAACGTTAAGAGGTTCATTCGAATGATTAACGTTGGATCATGTATTAACTCGACATTAATACATTCTCAGCGTGATGTTGTGTCATGTTTCCATCGATACCAAGTTATTCCTGATTCATCGGATCACTCTTAAATCGAATGTATATCATTCTGACGTTAACATTTATTTGGATCATTTTAACACTGGCGTCAGATTGTTCTTACGTTTCTAATTTAACATTTGAACCTTCTCAGACTAACAGTGAGTTGTTCCTAGGTAAAAATTGGATCGGTCTACATCAAAATTTAATTTTTTTTTAGAACAACTTCAACTTTTTATAACAATGTTAGATGCTTTCGAGGTCCGGGATTAGATTCTTCGTGTCACTCTTAGCTCAACGATTGCTCCATCTCATGACACATAGGAAGTCGTCGTTGACCGAAATTAGCTCGTTCTTACGTCGAAGTTAGGTCACTATCGGGTGAACTTTAAATCCTCCCTCTGGATAGAAATGGACACCAATATCTTCTACGTTTTTTAACAGTTAACACATTAGTATATTTGGATAAAAATATTTAAATAACGAAAACAACTCGCAATAAACTATTTTAAACCAAATAATCGATTGACACTTTCTAGACAATTCTTCTCTCTCTCTCACTCTTATTAACCCTGTTTCCTCTTTGACGATTCTCACATAACTGTTTTTCACTGGCACATATTATATTTATATCATAGCAAATGAGCTTCACTTATTCAACCTCGTTCGCATTCACACATATAGGACCAATACTCACATTTTATTCAGCAATGCACGGTATGCAGCAACATGATTTTTGTTCGTTGGAAGACCATGCATACTAATTAACATCGATGTTCGAAATTTTATCAAATGGCGACTGAAGGCTGCCTTTCGAGTGCAAAGGTATAATCTTCGATTCCACTCGATTTCCATCAATTCCAGTCAACATTGATTCCTCCTTTAATCCTAATTAGATCGCAGTTAGACCATTGCAACCGTTCTGACATCTACGTTAAATCATCCCGACGTCTACGTTAGAGAACTCCCAAGTCACCGTCAGATCTTCGTGACCCGATCGATTTCAACAATGAATTACCCTCGACTAGATATTGAGCTGTTCCCCGCGCATAATTGATAGCCAAATAACGATGTTTCCGTAATCAATTTTCAGTCCCGATGCTGGAGGTGTCGTCAGTGGCCGGTTTCAAAGCTCAAATACCTTGCGACATCGATCCGACCAGCAAGAGCGAGGTGGTGAGCATGGTTTTTTGGTACAAAGACGAAAGGGACGGCGAGCCGATATACAGCCTGGACGCTCGCCGCAAATCGATAGCTCAGGCGAAGCTTTGGTCAGATCCACACGTATTCGGCGAAAGGGCGACCATGAGGACGAACGTGGAGCCCGCGAAATTGGAGATCGATCCCTTGGAGGCGGCCGACGCGGGGGTGTACAGGTGCAGGGTGGATTACAAAAATAGCCCGACGAGAAATCAGAAGGTTAACCTCACGGTGATAGGTGAGTGTCCTCTTT